AAATATCTAAATGAAGATGGATTAGTCAAGATTTCACCTAAGATATAATTCCCTGAAACACACAGCCAAATAAATACTACATAATGAAAAAAATGAACTGCAAAATAGCTATAAAAAGTCAGAATTACTCGATGTACATATGAATTCTGAGAAACATAAAATTCACAAACACATTCTTGATTAGCTTTTAAATTTTACAGTTAAGTAATTTAGGAATTGAATATTATGAAAATTTACTAATCAGTTAAAAAGATATTTCTGAATACTCATTAGTTTAATTAATCTAAGGTAACTTAGGTCAGAAATAAATATTGTATCTTAGGTAGGTATAAAAGAGGTCCCATACAGTCTCTGCATATCTTTTATTGACCAAACTGCTTTGCTCATTTGGTAGTAACTGCTATTTCCTTTATGATTAAAGCTGAATTATAAATAAAGGGATAAAGGGAATTATTTATGAAAATTGTCAAAATTATGAAAATGCAGCTAATAGTCTTCAAAGTGTCCATGCTTGAAACTATGGTATAATTCCCTTGAAAGTACTCTTCCTCAACAGAGAAATATTTATTATACATACCTGGTGAATGGTTGACAGGGAGGGCTCATTAAAATCATATTGAAAGACAATTTGTCAAACTCTTCTAGCGTAATGCCCTAAGGAATGAACATTTGGGGAAAAAAATATAAAAAGATGCATAGAATAGGGAAGAAGGAAAAATGCTAACTGTAACTGAATATATCAGAAATTATAACCCTTAATAGTTTCATTTATAATACTCAAAACTTTATATAACACTTAACAAATTAACTTCAGTTAAACTAACTTTCCAAAGCAATCTTACGAAGGAAGTTGGATAAGTAAATCAAAGCTTTGAAAAACTAAGTGACTTCCCCCAAGACTCAGAGCTGGCCAAAGCAGAGCTGGAATGCTAATTTCCTGAATCCTAAGTGTTTCATGCCTCTGTGACACCTCAAGTCTAACACCACTATGTTTTCTGGAGTCAAACATAGAGAACTTCGTTTTATAATTAATGAATTTTTAGCATAGGGCCTAAGAAAATTTTTTAACACCTCTCTATCAATAATATTTTTTATTTAGGAAATGTGATATACTGACCAGTCACCATCCCTTCCATGTAGGTCTCTGTTAAAATATCACCAAATGAAAAAAGGTCCTGTTTTCAGATATCCACAATAATTATACTGTTTTACAGTTGTGTGTAGTCAAAAAACTTCCAAAGGTAACAGATAAGATTAATCAATATAATTCCTATTGGGCTAAGTAGTTGAAAAATGTGCTATTTTGCTTCTATTTTATATATCAGAAGATAAATACAGTACAGTGGTCCCTCCCTTATCTGTGGTTTCACTTTCCGGTTTCAGTCAACCCAGCCAATCAGGGTCCAGAAACAAAAGATCCTCCTTCTGACTTATGGTCAGATCATTAGTAGTCTAACCCTAACGTCACAATGCTTACGTCATTCACCTCACCTCATCTCATCATGTAGGCATCTTGTCATCTTACATTACCACAATAAGAAGGGTGAGTACAATATATTTTGAGAGAGAGAGAGAGACTGCAATCACAAAACTTTTACTAAAGTATATTGTTATAATTGTTCTATTTTATCGTGATTGTTAATCTCTTACTGTGCCTAATTTATAAATTACCTTTATCATAGGTATGTATGTATAGGAGTAAACATGGTATATATACAGAATTCGGTACTGAGGGCTCAGGCATCCACTGGGGGCCCTGGAATGTAGTCCCACGTGATAAGGGGGTCTGCTGTACAGAGAAACAAGTCATGGGTTTTCCAATTCTCTTTAAGCACTCTTAGTATAAATGCTTAGCCAGAAACAAGCAACCAGACTAGAATCACAACTTTCCTAATTATGACACATTTTTAAGAAGTTCAATGACATGAATAAGGCAGGACAAGCTTTATTCTGAGTTCTGTAAAGAGTGAATGAACCTGGGGAACACATCAGTTGTCTCTGTTGTATTAAAAGTTTGAATGTATGTGTCTATCATTTTTAAATCACAGGCTTTGAAGTAGTTTAAGGTGTATATGTAACATAAACACAAAATTAAATATTGAAAAGTTCCTACAGCACCTCTGAATCCCTGGGTTCTCAGGAAAACAATGTGAAAATCATGCACTGACCAGTCTGTCAGAAAACATGGGGCAAAGCAGTACAATCAGACAGCACTTCATACCAAGTTAGAGAGCCTGTCAGCACAGGGCTACTGTGATAAGCAACTTACGTATGTCCTAACTGAATATGGATTGATTACAGCTACATTTCTAAAACTAAAGTAAAAATAAAACAATGATCTTTTACATCAGAAGCATCCTATGTCTAGAATCTGGAGGAAGTAAACAGAGTTACTGCCTCCAGTACAGGTTGGCATAAAAAATTACAATTTTAAAGGATTCTTCAAAATAGTGATTTTTTTAAAAATCAAATGATAGGTCAGTTATGCAAGAAATAATTAGTCAAACCATTCACAACTTTATTTAACCTGGCATTGGAAGGCATTAAAATGTGTTGAAATTCAAGAAAGTAGTTACGGAGATACACAAATTATCTTTAATAAGTTGATATTTGCAACCTAACAGAAATCTATTCTTTTGCTTTCAGAGAACATTAGGTCAGCTCAGTGTGGTAGCACTGTTTATCACATGTTGATGAGCAGTTTTATTGGTCCTCTTACTAGCTTTATTACTTGTTTTTGCAGAAAGTCTCCTAGCTATGCTTATACTTAATTGTCATTTAAACTTTAGGAAAAACTTGGTAGGTTAGAAAACAACTTTTGACAATTTTAGTAAATTTTAGTTAATCTAAAGAGAACTGACATTTGTACAATATTCGGTCATACTTCCAATTTTCAAGTATCTTTTATTCCACTTAGGTCATGCAGATTTCTTGTTACTTATTTCTCAGTGTTTGTAAGTTTCTTGTTACTACTATACATAGAAACTTTCTTCTATTATATTTTCTAACATGTCTTTGTTTGCATATATAGTAAGCTACCGGTTATCATATTTTTGTAAACAGCCTCCTTAAATGCAGTAATTGTTCCTCATACTATTTTTAGGACAGTACGTTGTTTGTTTTCCAGGCCTACACAATTATTCTTTAGAATCCTCCTTAATATTTATATGCTATTTCTCCTGCATGAGTACATTACCTAACAGTCCACAACAACATTAAATAACAGTGCCAAAGGTAGACATCCTTGTTTTATTCATTATTTTAGTGAGAATGCTTTTAAAGTTTTACCATGTAGCATGCTACTGGAGTGGGAGATATATGTGCATGTTTGTGTTTAAACAGAAATATAAACACACATACACACAAAGCCAGTAAATGACATATACATCTCTAGTAGAATGCATTTGTCCTAATTTTATTGAGAGATTAAACTTATTGGAAAACCCTGCAATTTGTCAAATATTTTCTAATACATAGTTTTGCTCTTTCCAATTACTAACATGTTGAATAATAGTAATAGAATTCCTAAGTACTAAATTACTATTATACTTTCCAAAACAAAATCCATTTTAGTTATGCTACATTATTCTTTTGATGTGCTTTTGATTATTTGGTCATATTTTACTTAGAATTACTGAGTTTATATTCATAAGATAATGATTTTCCTATTTTGTGGCTTATAGTAAGTATCCAATAAAAACTGAGTGGATATTTCCTACCATTTCCTGCTCTATGAACTCTGATGTTATCTTGTGCATAAATATGACAATCAGATCTTTATTGAGGACTATATTAATCATCATTATAAAGTACCTTTCTATGATTCTTAAATGTTCTTGCCTTGAAATCCATTCTAACTAATATCTATTCTGAAACTGCTATCATTTGTGACCATTTGCCTGGTATCTGTCCATTTTTTAGCTACAATATGTTGTTCATTCAACATTCAGAAAGTGATCCACCAACATTGTTGTCTGTGACAACAATGAACCAAGAAACAAGGTTTCTGCTCACGTGGTTTATATAGTAGTGACTAGTAATTCCTCATTTTCTACCTAGATGAATTACAGACTTTAGTTTTATTTTACTAGCTATTTTATACCTGAGGAGTTCTGCTCCTGGTTATAACCCTCTCTGTGATTTTTCAGGTCTGACTGTGGGCAGTTACATAGGCTTCATCCCACAGGCCTTGAGGGAAAGCTGCCCTTCCCACTCCAGAACTGGAACATGGTCAGCACATCAAGTCTCTGCAGGCCATTAGGGTCAAGGATTCAGGTGCCCTGGCCAGCACATTCTTCATATATTTGCATGTCTAGTTCTCTTTATCTGTGGCCTTGGGCAGAGGTCCACTGCACGCAGCTCTGCCAAGACCTCCTTATGGGAGAAGGTGGTGGAAATCTGGAAGACACTTCTCCCTACTCTGGCTGGTACTCAGCACTTTCCCTTCCTAGCCCTCCTCCCTTACAATTCCCCCTAAGGCCGGAACTCCCCCACATCTGTGCTGACACACCCGCTCCCCCCCAGTGTGCTGTGGCATGTGGAAATGGAGCAGGGGGCCCTGGCGTTTTCTCTTATTTTACATATGTGCTTATATCACCACAGTCAGTGATAAAGGCTTTACTCTTTTATTTTTGTCTTGCTGCTTTAGTTAGCTACTCTGTCCTTCCCAGCTCAGCTAAGCTCCTAGTAACATTAAATAATGTCCTAAAAATCCATAGCTTCATTTATCTTTCAAATACACATATTTTTTAAGTCTCACTTTCTTCTCCTACGTCAATCATGTTATTATTTCTACACTGCAAAGATTCACAACATTTTTACCCAGTTTTCTAACCATAATTTCTTTCCTGACATGGTAGCTTTATTCCTGGGCTCTCTTCTTGGATTCATCTCTTGCTTAGTTAGATTAAGTGAATGAGTCATTTTTTCAATAAGGGCCCACGAGTACTACAGTTCATGAATTGTTGTAGGTTTTATTTTAGGAATTTCTTCCCTCTATTTCTGTTAATATTTTTGTTCCATTTATTTTATTGTCTTCCCCAGAGATACTAATTATTTTTATTATGGATCATTTTTGTCTTCATTAGTTATCATTTATTCTGCAACATTTGATCTGTATTTCTTTTCCGTTTTATTTTGCTTTCTTTTTCTCAAGCTCTGTCCTTCATGATTGTTTGCAGCACTGTCCACTTTACTTTTTGCTACGCTGACCTTTCATTTCTATAATGGTTTTATTTTTCTCCTCTTTCTTTTTTCCCTGACCACTGATATTTTTCCAGTCCAATCACTGTCTTATCATTGTTTTTTGAGCTGGTGTATATATTTATTTGAGTTCTTGTTTTGAAGATACCATGTTTTATTTAATGCCTGAAGCTCATGGAGGCATGTATGTTTGAAATTTTCTTCGGCTTCTTAATTAACGTAATTTTCTGTTGTATATTCTGTGTTTTGTTTACATTTCGTACCTTATTTTTAAAGTACAATATTAGTATAGCCTCAAACTGGTTCCTTTCTCATTATTATTCATTTCTTAATGGAGGCCACTTGAATCAAGGAGTTTGCTGAAAGATGAGATGAAATAGGTACTTTGTGGCCACACTGTTTCTGGGAAGGACCTGCACTAGCTTTAACCTAAGAGCACGCCTCTGTCCCTA